CTGTAGTAGTATTTATCTGTGGCACATTATTGGCTGTAATACCCACAACCCAAGGGATATTTAAAGTGAAATGTGCTGGATAATGCTGTAAAAATCATCATTCACAACTGATCTTTCTCTCCATTGCTGTCTTTTGCACTCATAAACAAAGGCACATAATTATTAAATAAAATAATTCTGCAGCTCACTTACTGAGAGTAACCATTTATCTCATGTTTTGCCCAAATTTCCTGAATTTTTTAAATAAAATAATATAATATAAAAACTCTTATTTGTTACCACAGTACTCTGCTTTTTTAATTAAGAATGAGTTATGACCTGGGAGTATCTGTTTCAAATCATAGTTAAGGCTGAGTTTTCTACTTGCTTAGCCCTTCCCCATCCTCATCTGAAATATAACACTTGCCTACCTTACTAATGGGCTCCCAGTGTGGTATAGTGTATAAAGTGATGGACCAGAACTCTTAGAGGTACAGAACACACACACTTTAGTAATGGGTTATTGTATGAATTACTAAGAGGAGGTGTATGAGTTCCATTTGAAGCTCTATGGTATGGACAATACTGTGTTTTATCATTGTTACCTACATGCACACTATAAATTGTACCCAGTGTGGTATGATGGATAGAATGATAGACTATGGAGAATATGTTTCGAATCACTATTTGGCCATGAATAGGCTCCTTAGATGGACAAAGGATGGAGGGGGGTGAGCGAAAATCCCACCTCTGCAGTCTTTCTCCATCCATTGTCATGGGTCGTTAACAGTACTTAAGTTAACAGTGGTCTTTATGGTGTGTGGTCCTGATCTTTCAGAGGAGGGATGAAAGGGCAATATGATAAACAGGAGACAGATTATATCTCAGGCCTCCACCCCTGTTGAGTGAGGGATTTTCTGTATGCACATGTATGGCTTCCCTGACCCCTCTCTCAAACCACCTATCCTCTTGATCCAAAATGAGTATATCTTGGTCATCAAATATTTTGTCCTTCAAATGAAGGAACACTGCTGATTGTGGTCCTGAGCCATTGCTCCTCCTGTGCTGGGCCATTCTCATGTTTAGTGTCTGTATGGTTTCTCCCATCTAGAGTGCTGAACACTCCTCTTTACATAGGTCTGCATATACTATATTGCTCCTGTTGTGTTTTGATGTCTGGTGTATTTGAAGTGCATAGGTATGTGGTGTTTACCAAAAATCATTTTGAGCTTTTCAGACACACTCACTATTTAAGGAATGACCAGGTTCTTCCAGCAGCTCTGGGTCTCAGACTGTTCCATTGTCCTGCTGGGTTGGGACATTGTCTTGTTAAAGTCCCATTTTGGATATTCACAGGCCTTAACGGATGCTTTCAGATGTCCGGCTGCTTTCAGATGTCCGTCTCCCTTCTTCTTGGCTTCTGTGGAGGTGGGGATGTTTCTTGTTCCATGGTTTAGCATCCTGATGACCCCTAGTTTTTGTTACAATGGGTGATGAGAGTCAAACCACAGATATTGATCTATCTGTGTAGGTTTTCTGTAGATTTCTAATCCTAAACTCCCATTGGATCCTATGATGACTGCACAGTCCAGGAAAGCCAGCCAGTTGTCTTTGGTGTCTTCCCTAGTGAACTTGATATTTGGGCCCACTGCCTTTATGTGGTCTGTGAAGGCCTGTGCTTCCTGAATCTTGATATTCACCCAGGTGTCATCCACATACCTGAACCAATGGGTCAGAGCCATCCCCTGGAAGGTGTTCAGTGCCTTCTTTTCCACTTCTTACATGTATACGGTGGCAACAATGGATGACACCAGGGAACCCATGGCACAGCCACGTTTCTGTCCGTAGAAGTCACCTCTGTAGGTGAAGTAAGTAGTGCTCAGACACAGGTCCAGGGGTAGAAGCTTCAGCAATCTGTTCAACTTCTTATTTCTCCAGCTTCTGAAACTTCATTTTACAAAGTATCCCAGAGGCTATTCACATGTTAAAATCAAGTGCAAAAAAATACTAGAGTTTAAAACAATATTCACATGTTAAAATCAAGTGCAAAAATACTAGAGTTTAAAACAAAAATATACAAAAATGTAGATACACATGCCCCAAACCACAGTTTAAAGATGGTTCTTTAGTTACTGCAGGAATCTCTAACCAGTTAAGTATATCTGCGCTATTCATTCTTTAAGACACATATCTTTTCCCTGGTTTATTAAACTGCCCTGTACTCACTCTATCTGTGTTTTAAATTGAAATCAGGATATTTATGCGATGGCAGTAGCTTTGTTTTCACAGATAAGAGGGCTATAGACATGTTGTCACTGACACTTAGTGACTTTTCGCATCTTAGTTTGGAAAGTCAAGTATGAAGTAGTCTCCAGTGTCAATATTCAGCAGGAGCCAGAAGCCCTTGTTATACCTGCTAGCCATGTGACAATGTAAAACAACTGGTCTATGATACTAATACTACAGCTATAACACCAAGGTATCACAGCTAAATGTAGACCTCTAATCTTTTATCATAAAAGTACCAATACTTTATAAGTTAAATATAGCATCAGTTTTAAAAATGTTGAGATTTCAAGAACAATATGCATTGGGACATCCCAAATATCATGTTTGGAAAGAAATGATGTATTGCCAAATTTTCTTCCATAACCTCAATTGAAATGCAGTGCCAATATCAATACTTGGTATAGTCAAGTTAGGTAGCCTGTCACTGGCAGATGTTTATCTAAGAGTATCACCAAAGCAGAATAAATAGACAATAATTTATTAAAAAAACCTGTCCCACAAAGGAGGAGAAAATTTGATTTTTCTGCCTTGGGCATTTTGCGTTCTATCAGTTTGCATCAAGATGTTCTTATAGCACAAGCAGAAGATGTTTCCATACCAGTTATGGTGGCCAGGCCAACATTACTAAATTGCTGCCCACTTTAGCTGACAGTGTGTAATCTCAGACAGATTCCCTTCCACTCTTCCACCCCAAGGCCTGCTGGCAAGTTTGCTTTTGGATGAAATAATGGAGGCTCTACATATAAGCAATCTGCTCTGTTTCTGAGTTCCACCACCACCACTAGTCATGGATTTACCATTGCCCACCCAATACAGTAATATCTGACAGCAACATATCAAGCAAATGTGTCCTCCCCAGACACATACATATTAAACAAAATTAATCTGAATCAACGATCTTTGCACATAAAACGTGTAGTCCTCTCCTGCAACTGCCATATTGAAACCTTCCTCCTGCACCCTTTAAAGGTGAATACCACAGCTATGAGTTGAGGACAAAAAACAAATGCTTTACAGGACAGATAAATGTTCAAAATCAATTGCAAACCAGCTCCATTCATTGACCATTCCAGATCTGCAGCAATTCTTGCTTGGAGAATTGTTATGACCTAGTAATATTTAAATGAGCCACACTTATTTGCACTGCTGTCTTTCTTCCTGAGTTCTTTCCAGGAGCATGTTACAAACTCTGAACAGAGGAACTGTTCTGTGCTAGATACTAAGTATGTTCCCATATGTACAGTTCCATGTGCTCCCCATCATAGGTATATAACAGTTGTTCTATCTTTTGCTCCTGAAGGGATGTTTTGTGATAAGAGGTAATGACCAAAGGAGCAGTGAGACAGTATGGGAGGATCATTAATGGAAGACAAATCTGCAGGCAATTTTGCATTCTGTAAAGGAATTGGGCCAATTGCTGGGCAGAAGCCTAATTTAGAAGCACAGTGCTATCCCAGTATGGTATAGTGGATAGACTGTCGGACTAGGTTTGATTCCCCACTCTGATGGAATTTCATGGGCAAGAGTGGCATAGGTAAAACTGTTCCACTTCCTTGAAAGCCCTATCAAGGTTGCTAGAAGCTCGATACAACTTGATAGCACATCACATACACACACAGTTTGGAAGCACCCATATGTTTAGTCCCGGGTGAAGTTGTCCTATTCATTAAGCTGAGTTGCCTCAAATGGCAGAGTGCTAGGAATGGTAAATTGTATTGTTCCTCTTTGTGAAGGATCACTGCCTTGCCTCCTTCCCCTGCCTTCTCATTCTCCCTCCTCCTTCCTCATCTCATCGTACACCTCTTCTTTTGCATCTCACTTATCTTCATTCCTTCCCTGCGCTTTCCTTGCAAAGGGAACTGAGGCAAGGCAAGGTTGCAAGGGGAGGAGGCTGGGAGAGCAGCACTAGCCTGGGCTCCCCCAGCACTTGAGGCAGCAAGAAGAATGGTGCTGACCCCATTATTGACACCTTCCTCCCACCTGCCACAGCTTGCCTCCCCTCTCCCTGTGCCACTGCAGCTTTACAGAGGGCAGGCAAGTGACAGCATGGAGGAAGGGGAGGGAAGGAAGATGAAAATGAGCATGAGACAGGGTGCTTTGACAGGGTACAAGGCAGAAGGGAAGGGGGCTCAGAGGTAGGGAAGTGAAGCAAGAGAGGGGAAGAAGAAAAGGGAAACAGTGAGGCAGGGGAAGGGGTGCATATATGTGTGTTCTACTCCTGGTTCAGGTAGGAGGCGAACTGGGGCCCTGCCTGGACAGATAACATCACCCCCAATAAGAGGTGAGATATATTTTCTGCCTCCTTCCGGGAGACCAGGTCCCAAGAAAACAATTCATTTCAAGGACAGCTGAAAACCAGGTCTGGGTTTCTTGATGTTTCTTTAACTTTTTCTTGACCTGCCTTCGAAAAGCAAAATATATCAACCCCCTTTCAGTCCCATCTCCCCCAATTATTTTCTTTGAAATATCATGAGGAAAAACAAATTAAAACGGTTGCAAATGGGGGGGGGTCATTTTTTACATTAACAGAAGCTACATGGAATATAGTGTGTCAGGCTACATACACTTTCCCAAAAATCCTGATACACCCCCCCCCGCGCCCAGGGAGGGGCTGCTCCCCAGGTTGAACCACAGTGTAGTCTTCAAAACCACCACTTTGCCAAGGAAGAGTATAAACGGCACTGGTTCCGAGGGTTTGGGGAGGGGATACACAGATGTTGCGCCAGACTCACAGATCTTGGCCAGGCTGGCCACGAGGATCCAGGCGGCGATAACATAAGGAGCCTGAACGTGATCCCACTTTAGTTCGACGATCTGGAAGGTCTCCTTTTCATGCCCTGGAGGGATTTCTTCTACTCCCGCTACGCTGGGAAAGAAGAGAAGACCCAAAGAGAGTCCCAAAGGATGTGCAAGCTTCATGGCCGCCGAAGTCATCGCGGGGCAGAGACCTTAAAAGGCCAGTTTCCAAAACTGCCGGGAGGTGATGGAGGAGGAGGATCTCCGGGAAAGCCGCTTCTCCTTATTAAGTGCGCTGATCCAAGTGGCGTGACAGAGGACGGCGGCTCGGCGCTGCGCCGCTAACACGCGAAGTCTGCGAGAGGGAAGGGCGCTCCTCGCCGCCGGGGCATCTCCAGCTGGCGAAGGTGGGACGGAGGCTGTCGGCATCAAGGATTGCACCTGCCCGTTCAACTGCGCGCGGCCGGCAGAGGTCGGCCACTCCGCAGCCGCAGACACCTTTATGCCTTTGCCCCTCTTCCCTCCCCTTCCTTCTCAGAGGTCCAGATCCAGGGGCGGAGCTTGGCCGGCAGATCCCTCCTGCCTAAGGGACCCATGTCCGGAGTGCGATCCCCTTCTCTAGCCCAGCAGAACTCGCCGTCCCAACTGGCGGGGGGGGGGGTTGTTGTCTGTGCGCTGTTGCAGATCTGGGGGCGGCGGGAGAGCGGCGGCTCGCCGTTTACTTCTCGCAGATAGAGGAAGACAACCGAGAGCCGCCCTTCCCGGGAAGCGAGGACCCCGAGGTCGTCTGCGAAAGGCGAGTCGCCGCCGGGGGGGGGGGCGCGGACTGAAGCGGCAAATCTCTCCGATTTAGGAAGACCAGGGAGCTTCCCGTCCTTGCTTAGGGGCAGCGTAAAAGGGAAGGGGCCTTGGCTTTTTCTTCAAACGCACAGGATCCCAAGTTTCCACCCGGTTAGTGGGCTCCTCTCTTCTGCCCTCAGGTCACATCTCCACACGGTGGCGGCGGCGCAGGAGGAAGGAAGGGCGTCGATCGTTCCCTCTTGTCAGGTTTACCTCTCCGTGCGTCTTCTTTAAGATCGCCTTGCCCCCGCTACCTTTTTCCTTAAAGAGATCTTTAGCTTGATTTTTTTTAAAATTTATTTTTGGTACCGCTAAGAGCGTCGCCTGTCCTTGTAACTCGCCCGCTTGGCGAGCCGTGGCTCAGTCGGTGCGGCGCGACCGCGATCCTTTCAAGGCGAGCGCTTCCCTTCTTTCGCGGACAACTTGGAAAGGGGCGCTCCGTCTGAGTGGAAAAACACTCCGAACCCATTAGGACGGCGGGCGGCGGCCTCTCTCGGGGCCCAGGCACCAGCCCTTCGTCCAGCTCGCTGCGTTGGAGTTCAAACATCTCCCGGGCGATAAGGCAGCGCGCGGGAAAAGGGCTGGAGGGGAAGCCAACGCACGGCCGGGCCCTTGAGCGGGAACCCGGCCCTCACAGCTCTGCCCTTCCCAGGAGAAACGCCGATGGTGCTTTAGAGCCAACACGCTGGCTTCCAAGGCGGAGGAAATGGAAATTCCGGGCCGTCCCTCGTTTGGTCACATCATTATAATAATAATAAATAATAAATAGCCCTTTGAACCACCCTCTCCATAGATATTTCATAGATGCAGGTGTTCAGAGATTCCCGCGACACTCCGGTGGCTCAAAGGCGGGAAAAAGTTCCCGAGGAAGGGGACAGACGAACCACTGCAACAAAAATAAAAGCTTCGGGGCACTTTTGAGGATTAACCGTTTTTATTCGGCGCAAGCTTTTCTCGGGGGGCAGCCCACTCAATCGAGTGCAATGGGGAGACACACTAAAGCCTCTGCGCCTCACGGTGCCCTCACCCTCACTGACCTTTCTAGGTCCCCGCGCCCCGCCCACCCCACGGAGATGTCCGCGTTGCCTGCGAGGCAGCTGGAGGTAAGGGGGGGGCGCGAGAGAGAAGAGAGGGAAGGCGCAGCGGCACGAGGCGTTCCGGAGGCTGGTGCGCACGTGCCAGATAAGGGAAGTGTGCAGTGTCCGCGCGAGGTGTGGAAGGGCGGGGAAAAGAGAGCAAGGCGAGGCATCCCTTTCGCAGGAAGGGAGAGGGACGAGGCGTTGGCGCGGAGTGAGCCTATCCTTTAGCACAGTGTTGCCCAACCTATTTTGAGGTGTTACCCCCCTATTATAACAGCCAGGCAATCTGGGACTCCGCACCACATTTGCATAAAAAGGCATTTTAATTGGGTGGAGAAAACACTAAAATAGATTTTTCAGAATATACTTCTAACCTAATACTGCACACGGAATTAATATAATAATACATAGTAATGAGGCTGTAAATCTGCCTCTACCAGATGCAATTTGAGAAGGAAAAAAATGTGGACGCTGAGTTTAATTTACTTTTTGGGGTGTGGAAAGTTCCCTTCATGTCTCCTTACCAAAAAGCCCCCTCTGAAGGGCCCTTCTCTCTAAAGCCCAAATAAACACCTCCCCCACTGGCCTTGCCCTGTGCCACACCCCCTCTCTGGTTCCTCTCACCTTCTTGCCCCCCATTGCCTCCCTCCTCCAGGACTCATGAAGACGCCGGAGGCATCTCCCTGCCCTCTCCCTTCACTGCTACACCATCGCCACACCCAGAAGAATAGAAGACTCAGGTGGAGCGAAAGGTGCCACTGCCACAACGGCAACAGTTTTTCAATACTGCCACCATCTTGGCCGTCAATATTCCCATTGTGCATCACAAGCTCGCCTTATTCGGGCCTCTTTGAGCCAGGCTAATGCTCAGGTCTGACGGGTTGTCAGTGGATGTGGAAGAGCAGAGAGAAATGAGAATGGCTCTTTTGGAGGGGCCAGGATTCATGCACATGCATAAAAGGAAAATTGCTCAAAGGGGTTCAAAAATAATTAAGAATTCTAACTTGTCTGTGATTCTGGTTCGGATTGAAATTATCTGTGGGCCAGGAGGATTAAAATAAAACAGCATTGTTTGTACCATATTTAATATAATAAATATAAAAAAAATATTTGCAACTCAAAATAACCAAGGTGACCCTCCCAATAAACACTTTGCCACTTGGAGCTCATAACCCCCAGGTTGGGAACCCCTGCCTTAGATGACTACATGAGGCAAAAGGGCGCAATCAAAGCACACTGCTCCCCATGGAGGGCCTCTCCTCTGTCTCTCTTCCTTTCCTTCTCCCTTAATCCACTATTCCTGACTCACCTCCTTGCCCCTCCTGGCTTTCCTTTCTGTCTCTTTTGCCTCACCTTGGTACATGATGTAAGAGGATGGGGTTGCTTTAAATGGGGGTGGGGTGGGGGAGTGACAGGTAAAGAAAGTACTGTACTGGCACTGCCATGAGGCAAGGAACTTGGGGCGCGCGCAGAAGAGTGAAGTGAGGCAAGGTGAAGCGGCATCAAAAAGGGAGGCGGTGGCTCTTTTCCTCCTGTCTGGGACACTGAGAAAATCCAGCCAAGCCCAGGAGGTGGAAGCTGTGCGGTCCACTAATTTGTGTGCTTGAGGGGGCTGCTCCACTCTGCCTAATTGGGGGAGGGGCAGCTCTTTTATGAAAATAGAGCAGTTTCAGCATATCAACAGCAGCAATAACAACAACAACAACAACAAGCGAAAAAGAAAAAAGATGCGGCACATTAAAGACTAACTGCTATATTTTAATGTGAAGTTTCATGGACAAGTCTACTTCTTCAGATATAAGACTCTACTAACCACCTAGTGAGGAAAGGTGAAGCGGCATCAAAAAGGGTGGCGGCGGCTCTTTTCCTCCTGTCTGGGACACTGAGAAAATCCAGCCAAGCCCAGGAGGTGGAAGCTGTGCGGTCCACTAATTTGTGTGCTTGAGGGGGCTGCTCCACTCTGCCTAATTGGGGGAGGGGCAGCTCTTTTATGAAAATAGAGCAGTTTCAGCATATCAACAGCAGCAATAACAACAACAACAACAACAAGCGAAAAAGAAAAAAGATGCGGCACATTAAAGACTAACTGCTATATTTTAATGTGAAGTTTCATGGACAAGTCTACTTCTTCAGATATAAGACTCTACTAACCACCTCTATCCCTTTATCTTAGAGCCCTGTATGAATGTTTTGCCATGTAGTTTCTATATGCTGACTCTTATGTCTGAAGAAGTGAACATGTCCCGCAAAGGCTCCTATTACAGTATAGCAATTCGTCTTTAAGGTGTCACAACATCTTTATCTTCTTTAAATTAATTTTTTTGCTTTTGTTTTGTCTGGTGTTTCGTGTTGATACACTTGCACATACTAACATGACTACCGCTTCAAGAGCAGTTTCAAGTGAGTCTTTTATCACACAATTGCTCTATCATATTCACTGAATTTTATAGGGGCTGTTTTGTTATTATCTGATCAATATTCTACTGCACGGAGTTTTTTTCATAGCTGCTTCTGTCTTTCCTCTTACTGAGGAAATACTGTAAGTTAAAGGGGGAAAGGTGGTAAAACCTCGTTGTGTTTTTGTCACTGCTAGCATGAGAAGGCTCTGCCTGGAAATAGTCTGAGAAGTGGAGGTGAGAGACAGCAACTTGTTTGCTGAAAGCCACCATAGCAAGCTCACAGTAGAAGTAACAATAATTAATTTAGATTGGCTTATCAGTCTATGGTTACAAGAATAATGAAAATTGTGTATGTAAAATGGCAGCTTTATTAAACGCTTCAAAAAAAGAGCCCCCACAGGACATTATATTGACCAATGTTTTTCTTTCTTTTCTCTTTTTCTGTTCAAAATAAGACTTAGACACCCCCTCCAGCTGTCCTGCAGTGCATCACTGATCTTCCATATTGGATCTGAGTTCATAGAACATTTTAGCCCATTATTAAACAATCCCTGGCAGAAGATGAGTACAAGATAGCTCTGTGGTTTTGGTATCTGGCATCTGAGCCAGAGAATGGGAGTTGGATTCCTCACTGTGCCTCCTTGACAGAAGCTGGATTGAATGATCAATACAGTCCCTTCCAGCTGTCCACTTCCAAGATTATTATTATTATTATAAGTATGCCTTTGGCTCTCTTAAGGAGAGCAACCAATTTTGAACTGGCACTGAAATCTACAGTTTTAAATTCCCGTAAGATTGAGCTGTTAGCTCAGTGGTGTGGGAACTGCATTTGGTTAACATGAATGTTATCCTTCTGACTGCAGGGGATCTTGAGATGCAT